GAATTGCAAGCGTCTACTCATAATAAAATTCCTTATTATTGTCATGTTCACCTTTAATTAAAAGTGAACATGACCTTATTATTGTCTTATTCAAGATATTATGTATATATATAATTTAACAATAAATTCGAAGTTGATGTTAACAACTGGGAAACACAAATATTAAGAAAAATCACCAGGATGAGTGACAAGGAAGTTTTAATTTTCAAGGATAAAACTGCAATTCATAAATATGTTATACAAGAGTAGTTTTTACTATTTATGTGATATCAATGAATGAAATGAAACAAACAGGAAAGGAAAATATATTAGAATGTCCGGAAAGAGAAATCTATAGATCTGATGACGATTAGATTATAGGACTATGGAACCTTATGGATAATGTATTTCCTTAGATCATTAATAAAATTAACTATTATATGATTATTTTCAGATCAAAGACTCCATATGGATATCATTATTTTTAATGTATTTATTAAATTGTTGCTAACACAACAGAGTAGTAAAAGCTGTCATTTCCTATGGTATAGTCTTATACTATAATATTTTTATACTAAACAGGAACCCAACAGGATTTCCTGCTCTGTAATGCTAGCATCAATTAAAAATATAAATAAATAGTAGTAGTAGAAAAGGGTTAGGAAAATTTAATGAAACTTTCATGGTTTTTAAAATGGCTAAATATTTCGAAAACAATAAAAAAAAAAAAAAGAAACTAATGTGCGCGATATACAGCACAAGATAGAAGTGAATAAAAGGAGAGATTAATAATATGAAATATAAATCATAATTTTACCATAAAGAGGATGAAATGCTGAACATTTCCCATCCTTCTGAACATCTGTATCTGAGATATTTTAATCCATGTCCTCCATAAAACTCGTTATCATTTGGTTTTCGACATTATTTTTTTCCTGTTTGCCTTCCTAACACGGCGTCACTTTAAGATACAATTTTGAACTATAGTCTATTACAGACAGAGTGAAATGTTGAACAATTTCCTCGCTTACAGTATGGAGGCCCGATTTTTAGTTTCTGAGATATTTGAATCCATATGTAAAAGCATTTCAATCAGTCAACTCTAAGCCGACTTTACTCGAGCGTTAATGCTTCAAAAATCTTACACCGCCTTTGGGAATGTAAAAAAAAAATTTATAGATTCTAATTTATTAAACTCAAAGAAATAAACTTATAGTTGAATTTTGTATTAGTTTATAGCATGAACAAGATAAAGAATAAAAATATATTAAATGGACCTGACTAAAATCAACGGTGGGATAGATTCTTATGAGATTATTTTAAAAATAATATTTCAATAAATAATGCGAAAAAGTATAATGATGTGTGTAATGTTCGCAATAATATGGAGAGAAAATCATTAAACAATAAGTTAGCAACTTCAGAAAATGGGATACATTACCTCGAAACTTCAAGCCAATATAGAATTATTTAAAAAAAAATTGAAAATTTTTAATTTAACCTGCAAAATTAAATTTAAAAATGATAAGAGGGAAGTAGAATAAAGAATAAAATTTAAAAAAATATAAAAAAATTTCCAATACCTTTGGGGAAGTGTAAATTTAAAAAAATAATAAGTTATAATTGGATAAACTCAAAGAAATTATTGAACGTTCCTGCAATGTAAAATAAATATATAATTGGTTAAATATTAAAAATAAATGAATAATATTCAATAATCCCTTCCATTATATTAATCTAACTATTGATGTTTCCTTCTATAATAAACGTAATACCTAGGTGGACAATTTAGTGTAGAATATTTAGAATATTGTACAAATATTTAAGAAAATAATATTCGTTGAATAAAATAACAAAAAATATTACTGCAAAGCAGTGATGTGCAGTGGATGATAGTTCTGTCTTTCTGCCAATTCTGACGTCAATGGTAGATATAATTATATGAGCCTGAGTTGACAGAATGACTAACCCCAATTTCAACATTTTTGAGTAAAGTCATGTTAGGCGGAAAATTTATTATATCTGTACAGACAGTGAGTAAGTTGGTTCTATAGTAGTTTATTTCAGTGTTGAATTATAGAACTGTGAATAAAAGTATAATTTTTCCCTCTAGAAATGTAACTAAAATTAATAATCAAAACATTTATTGTTAAATTGGAATCAGTCTTTCTGTCGACTGAAAGGTTCATATACAAGTACAGACCGTTTTGGCGAGAGCTTTCATCTTTCAAACTGTTATCCTTTATTTTTAGATATGTCGTGATATATAAACCGAGAAAAATAAAAATTATTCGGTAATATTAATCAGAGGTTGAAATTCTATAGTAAAAAAATAAATTTAGTTTAATCTTGGCTGTTTATTAGAATTCTTAAAAGTGCATTTTGAAGTTAAAACGGGATCAGCAACTTATTTTGTTAATCTCGTAATTTTATTAAAGTATGATTTGATTAAGTTTTATTTATTTCTTTACTATTCCTAAATTATAGTTAACCTAATTTCAAAAAAAGGAAACAAATTAAAGAAATATATATGTAGTTCTATGTTCATAGAAATATTCTTATTAATTTTTCATTATTATTAAGTGGAGTAATGTATCAAAGTGCAAGACTACATTAAATTATTATTCGCCGATTAAATAAAATTTAGTGTCAATTGTTATAATAGAAATAGATAGAAATAGAAAATAAACTTTATTCAGGGACGATGTCCCCTTAGAATAACAGTTATGGACTCTTACACATCTGGCCAAAAACTAACTCAGTAAAGATTCAAACAATATATACAACAACTTAAATAATAGTATATAAATTACTAAAAAATAAAATAAAATCTCAACTATATTTTTAATTTTACTGGAAAAAAATAACAAAAAGAAAAGGAAAAAAAAAAGAATTACATGTATAGAAAAAAAACAGCAATACAAAGATATATATGTATACAAATTGAGAAATGTAAGAAATGAAATACGTCTAAAATATACACAATCTTGTAGATTAAAAAAAGAAAAATAGATAAAAACAACAAACAATCTCTTATTCTTTACTATATATTCTTTACTATGATTAAAAATTAAGATTATATTAAAAATATACACTCGACAATTTTTTCATTCCTAGTGGGGTTACATTTGATTTATCACTAAAACTAATATTTCTTCAGAAAATTTTGACCGTCAATATCTTACGTTAAAATAGCGTTTGTATCATTGAACACAAAGTCTTCTGATTGTATCTTACATTTCGGTCAGCAAAGGGCAAACGTGGGCAGATCTCTCCCACGCACTACGTTTTCATTGTTTTTCATCCCTGAGCCTTAAGAAAAAAAAAATAATAGTGGGCATATTCTTTTTTGTTTCAGTTATTAATTTAAATAAAAATATTTTGCTGTTAGAATCAAAACTCATTTCTTTCTGAGTATGATAGTCCTTGAAATTCAAGGTTGTGTGAAATCTACTTTATTGTCAGTACCAAAACATTATTATTCAAAACAAGAAAATTAGTATAACTTATATTGTGAGATCTCTATACTAAACTACGTTTCTTCATAATGTTTTAAATATATATATATATATATATATATATATATATATATATATATATATATATATATATATATATATATATATATATATACATCTACATACATACATACATCTATTTGGCTCTTTTTAGCCAATTGGATGTTTCTTTTTCTCATAAAAATTTCCGGAAAAACGCATTAAAGTATCGATTGAGCATCATGTAAGTAAAGGAAGTAACAGGACTGTTTGAATTTACTGGAACGTTATTTTTTAGAACCTTCTTTTTTTTTTCATGGAGCTTTTATGTACCAAACATTGTTACAGCAAGCACACAGTTTTCTGTTTTAATAAAAAGAAAATTCTTCAAAGTACTTAATTTTCTAATATTAGCTAATTTCACTCAGACTTTTTGCAATGAACAGATGACATTTATATCCCATTCGAATTGAAAGCGAAGAACATATTTTCTTCTTCAATAAGAAGAGATTGAAATGCTGCTACCTAAAAACATGAACTTAAGTTCTCTCATTAGATAACGATGGAAATTGGAGAAGTTTGAAAATAGATAACTTAATAGAAGTAAGAATTTGATAGCTATGTGTAAGTATATTTCAAGATTTGTTTTTATAATCTAGTATAACAAATTTAAATTGACTTTTTTACAATTGCAGATGGAATTTGAATTAAATTTAAATTTAAATTCAATTCAAGCATCCTGCAGATATCTGCTTATAGGCATATTTCTTTTATATCTTCTTTTAGATATTTTATGAATGAGGATTAAAAACGGTGCATAAAATGTCTTGTTGAAGTCTTAAAGATATTTTTCGGAATATATTTTAGACATGGCATATCTTGATCAAGACATTTGTTAGCTATTGATTAGACAAAATTTTGCTCCTTGAGTTATTATTTTTGGTTAATTTTTAAGTTTTGTAATTTGTTAAATTGTTATTACACTAGGGACATACCCGTGAATAGATCACGGCTTTATTGGTTTTTTCTTTTGCATCATAGCTCGACAATATGCAAGGAGGACGGTGCCCTAGTTCCAGCCAATGAGGACCGGAGACCTGTTGCGTGGACAGCTGTAAGGAGGAAGGTCATTGGTGGATCGGTAGGTTATCGCTATGATGCAATTCCGATGTGGTTTCTCTTTCTCGCTTAACGTCTGGTTAATCCGGTTAGTTTGTAGGTCTAAGGTTTTCGGTCTCTGTTTAGAATCCTTTGTCCGATACTATGAGATTTAGTTTGATATCAACTTTTCTTTTTTATTATTACTCGCTTAATGTAACACATCAATTCGATTGAACGTAACCCTGTCCTCTTAAAACATATGTGCATGATCATTTTTTTAATTAATAAACAAAATCAAAGTATGTAGGTACTGTGTCATTCGATTACAAAATAGATATAATATTCGAAGGCTACATTAATATTCAGTTAAATCAAAACCAATCTGATATTTACTCCCACAAACTTTGGATAGTCTTGGATTCATTAATGGGTTGGTTGAGTTCTTGACCGTAAAGTCGTGTAAGGAATACGTTCAATATCACAATCAACTGCCACATTATCATACTCATTCACCGCTGATAGGAGGAAAAATATATTGCCTACCATTGTCGAAATCGAAGCTAAAGTAGAACAAAGAAATTTAAAGTAGACCAAAGAAATTTAAAGTAGACCTACATTGGAAATGTGATTTTTCAGTGCAGGAAAGTTAAGGAAATTTCTTTGAAGTTTTAGGTGTATAAACTTAAATATTGAGGTTATTTTATTTGTCTTTGATTCATCAAACAGAACTACTTCTCAACTTGTCAAGACACAATAAATTTCATTGAAAATCCAACTAAATTTTTAAAAAAATGTTGGTTTAAAGAATAGTTTTGTGGCACCTGCAGCTGACATTACTTATTATTTTAAATACATAGGACGCGTATTGACCTTATATGCTTTTGGAGTCTTGAAAGTGGGATACCTAAGAATTATTGATTTATGTCACAACTTTAAATCAGTAAAAATGATAATTGTTTAATGTTTCAAGTTAAGAAACTAACATAGATACCACTACGTTCTGGAGACATGAGAGAGCAACAGCCTTAAAAAATATAACCTGTAGTAATAACAAGAAAAGAGGAGTGTACAGTGGGCATTACTGCGCCCACAGTCCGTGACTGAATTGTGCAAAGCTCTGTCCACATCGTTTCATCGCTGCGTCTCACCGATGCTTCATCTCCTTCCGGTCTGAGCCAACCTGTCATAATCATAGATCTGAGAAGGTCATGAGAAATAGGTTTATCCGTGGTTGAGGATGTCTTAACTGGAAAGATTGTATTGTAGTTCATCAGCAATAATGCAACTGACTGTGCATAGAGAAGAAATATGGAAGATTTCTACTGAAATATATTTTTTAATGAAAAAAAAATTTTTATTTAAATTTAAATTATACAAATATTATTTGAACTCTATTTACTTCTAATTTTTGTTAATGACTCTATGTTGCTAACGTTTCGGTATCACCAGGATTGTAAACACAAAAGTAGGTTTTTTGAGATCAATCCAATGAGAAAGCTCGTCTCACTTCAACATCTTAATTCAAAGATTAATCAAATACATTTATGTAAACAAGTACCAGGTAGATAGGTTTAAAATTGGCCATCTGCAAAGTTTTTGCAATAAACAAACTTTCGCGCATTACATATTAAGTAAGAAAATCTCTGGGCTATCGCCTCAAAAGTCTTCGGGGCGGGATGTATTGATTTGTAGTGGAAATCAGTTCTTGGACTAATGGGTCTGTGTTGTATGTTTCTGGTGGCAGTTTTTATTGTACTGTATTGTCTGAAACCGTTTGGATGTCCGTTGTGTAGCAAGTGTCACGTAGAACGGTGGGTCTGTTATTTTTCTCAAAACTTTGGACTGAAAAATTTGAATTTCAAAGATTTTAGTGGCTTTTGATGCTTCCCGTATCTTGTAAGTCTATAAAGGTTTTATGAGTAATTTATAGACGGTATGTTATTTAGTTAAGGATAGTTTGGAGCGTCTCTCAAGTAGTCTGTACAATAATCCATATTCTTTGTTCAATGTAGAATGGGTTCTTGTCAAATGAGAGGATTGTCTGGTTAATGCTTAAGATGTAGCGGTCCTCGGAAACTTGTATAGAACTTGATGCCACCCATCTTCGTCATTAGATCCAGCCTCACTAATTAGTTTGTTTGGATTTCTGGATCCATTATTAATTGGTATAGCCTTAGCGGTTTTGGAGTTATCTACTTTGTTAGACGCTTGTGCAACATTTTTCGTCTTCGATTGCTTGGCTGGATGAGAACCATGCGACCTCATATTGTTTCTTCCGAAGGCCATAATACAGGGAAGTCGCCAAGAATAACCGTTGAAATCTCATAATAAATTAAGATATTTTTTTCTTTTTTTTCAAAATTTACTATTGGTTTTAACTTAATAGCAAACAAAATTTTATAAAAAATAAAACCAAATAAAATAAAAAAAATCCAAAAGAAATATTTCTGAATGTCTGACTATTTCATAGATTTTGAAGTTAGCATTAAATTATAAAATAGATAGCAGAAATTTAAATCGTTTTCCTTACTATTAGTAATTAACCAACGAGCGTTTCCCTAATTTAAGTATCAACAGAATGGAAAAAATATATAAGACCAGTATAACCACACTGTAGATATCACATCTCAAGTCAGCAATCTAAGAAATTTTTTATTTTATTTTTGTAATACAGGTATGTCTTTAAGTTATAGAGCTTGTGCGATATCTAATCTAATCGTTTCAGGAGCCTGACAATCGCTGTACATCGTTATATTTATTTGATTTATTTAAGACCGAACAAAGTCAGAATAAATGCGCAAGAGGCGTGACTGAGCTATATTTACCACAACTTGACCTAATCTGGCCGCACCTTCACATTCATGGTCGCATCGCTTGAAGGCCTCATCTTCAGAGTCTTACCTCAGTAAGGTTCTGGAATATTCTAGTGGAAAGTTCTGAACACGTTGCTACACGTTTTACTTTCACTTACCTATATATTAAAAATATAGTAATTAAAAGTTTTGCAATTGTGAAAAAAAAAAGTCGAATCTAAGTTTTCTATGGATGTATACGTTTTAAATTGTGTGAGCAACACTGTAAATCAAAAAAGAAAAGTCGTACGAAACTGAAATTATGTATTTAAGCTACTAGAGGAGTGTACCTGTAATATTGCAGCATTATTACACTTTATATATTTTTTTATAAAACGGCTTTAACTATTTTGATTAAACTCGTTACGTCATTATAGACTTAAATGATTTTTAATATTAGGTAGATAAAAAATCATTAAAATTTTCTTACGAGACTTGCTTTTAATTTTATTTACTTGAAATAATTAAAGGTTTCTCATTGTTAAAAGTTTACTTTGGTTAAATTAGATAATTTACCAAAGTTGGTTATTTTTCTCTTTTTTTTTTTTCGTTTTCTTAAGCCCATGGGATGTGGTTGTTGTTGTGGTATAAGTCGTGGTGACAGGGCTCACTAGTGTCCTGTAAATGTCAGTTATTTTTCAGTTTACTCAAAGGCTTTATGTAAGTCTGCTATCTTATAGGTTTGTGAGTAAGTGGATTTGTTAAAAGTAAAGAGTGGGTTTGTCGAGTATCAATTTATTGTGGGTTATCAATTTATTTAATATCAATTTAGTAAGATATTAAAATAAACACTACCAATACACAAGAAATCTTGTAGGTAGGTATTTAGCTAGACAAAGAAGATTGTTGTGGTTAAAACTGACTTAGCTGATAGGTAAGAAAATTATTTAAACACTTTTTTGTTGTTTAAAATAAAATAAATCTCTCTCATTGTCAAAAGTAATAAAAATAGACAAGTATCGAATTACGAAAAAAAATGTATGATTAATAATGAAAGAAAAAAAGATGAATATTTTTTCCTGTCCGATCATGAAAATTGAATGACGATAATAAATAAGGCCTAGGAAATTTTTGGAAAATTTTATAAAATTAATAACTAAATTAAACAGGTCATAGACAGTGACGCAAAAGGCATAAATTCAACAGTTTAGATGACTGGCAAAAACATATCTACGTTATGCAAAGAAAACTTCATAACTCAATTTAATTAAGATTCAATGTATAGATTGTTTCTAGTACGCACATTTAGTTTCTAAAATTTTTACCATGTAATACAAGCCTTACTTACTATAGCTTAGGTGTACCTATGTAATTTCAAATCTCTCATTGAATATAAAACTGTGAGACTGGAATTCTATGGTACAAAATAGTCTGATGGAGTTTTATTTATAATATGTGGATTTTTATAATCTAGCGTCTGTATGATAATTAATTGTGGTAAATGAATATGTTTCGGCATATTCGAAAAGCTTTTCTCATCAGATCTTTCCTTCCATTGTGCGAAAGTATCGCACCTTCGCTGATTGGATCCGACTCTTGCATTTAGGTAATGTAAGGTAAAGGTGTGTTACTGGTACAGGAAGAGTATGGGACTATAATGAGGAGCGTCTATTTTTTGTAGACAGTCATTTGGTTTTCTTCGACACCTCTCTTTTTCCGAGGAAGTTCCCTCCGGAGAAAATAGAATGCCCTCCCCCCTCAGGTTGCTCAGTTTTCCGAGTCACTTCTTCGTTGATATAACAGTTTGCATGAAGTAGAACACTAATATATTTTAAATTATCTACCTGCTCTAATTTCTCTCCGTTAGTCTTCAGTATTCTCTCTATTTTCTAGAGTTTATTTCCAATCCGCACTCCTATTCTGGTCTTCTCCAGGTTAATTTTCATATTGCTTTTAGTTCTTCTTGGAGGACATTTATATTAAATCGGAGTTGCGGATCATTGACAGTTAGACGAGGTCATCAGCAAATGCTAGATGTTTTTGTATGATTGGTAATTTTAGTTTGGGTAATTACTTATGATTTTTAAATATTCAGGTTGAAATTAAGATATCTAAATAACAACTCCTTACATAGCTCTTTAAAATACTTTACACAATTCTTTCTCCTTTCCAAATAATATAATTTATCAATAATAATAATAATAATATCAACAAATGGTCTGATTCTAAAGTCAACGGTGGCAGTTCGGACTTGTCCCCCACCTTCAGCTTTGAATCCGCAATGCAAGAATAATAAAGATAATAATAAAACGCTTAGCGATCCCGGAGGTTCGTAGCCGACACCGCCAATCGCTTATTACACACCTCCCTCCACCGTTCGTCTTCCAAACGCAGTACCTTCAGATCGGCTTTAACGCAATCTTCCTACCTTCGCCTCGGTCTACCCCTCGAACGTTTACCATTCGGTACAGCTACTATTAATCTTTTAGGAATTCTTTCGTTATTAAAACTCACAAGCCCATTTGATTCGCCATGATATAATCATGTCAATTATATTAACCGGACGCAGTAATCGCAATTCGGCGTTGTGTAAGCATCTGAACTCTCCGGTTAACTCATCCTTTTTCGGTTCAAATATTCTACGCAATACTTTATTTTCAAAAACCTTAAGACGCTGCTCATCCCTTAATGTAAGCGGTCATAAAGAACTGTAGGTTAGATAATGGTTTTATAGATTCTACTTTTTAAATTTCGTGACAAGAGATGCGAGCTAAGTAATTATGTCATAGAAAAATAACAGGCATTTCCCGCCTTCAGTCTAACCTTAATCTCCTCTCCAATCTCGTTTTATCTAGTTATCGTAGACCCTAGATACCTAAATTTCTCTATGTGTTCAAACATAATACCTTCTATATCGATATTACCGGCAATGTTGTCTTCGGTCGGACAATGTATGTTTATTAACGCGATTTTAAACCAACGTTCCTGAAATATGGCTACTGAAATTCAAATATTAAAGAATTGCGCGTCCCTCAAAGTGGATAACAATCTATTCCTAATTAGAAACGCGATACCTAAACAATAATTCCCGCTTCCTCCGTATCCAATAGCGTACTTTCCTTCCCTTATCGTGCCCTCCCCTGGCCAGCGAACCTCTTGCAGAGTCACGATATCCAAATTGTACCCATTAACCTCATTCGCGAACGATTTTAACACACCTGCTGAAACTATTATACATAACTTTTTTTAAAGTTTTCTTTTGATCAATTTTTAATATTTTGTCCTCCTTATCAAGGGGCTTCCTTATTGACAGTGGTGGTTTGACAAAGATTTCTCATATGTCATAAAAAAGAAAAATTACTAAAATCAAAGACATGATGCATCCACTATCTAGGCGACAATCACAACGAAAACATTGAAGTTTTCAACTTATACCTACATTTATCTTTTTTTTTTATTTATGGTTCAAAATTTTTATATTACAAAAAATACCTCAGATGTTATATCTAAAGTATTCTATAAGCTCTTTTATAATTTATTATCACAACTTTACATACTGTTTTTTAATGTACTTTACATACAGTTTTGTGTTTATGTAAGTTGATTTCATCACACATATCCAAAATATAATATATTTTTTATTCTTTAACATTTATAACAATATATAAGACCTCTTGCCGGAATGATCCCACTTTATTTTAAACACGAATAATAAATCTCGCTGACCTCCTCTTGTTGCCAGCTTTGATTTATTAATGACGTTCATTGATGATTCACCGAGTGTGATTCTTAAGCGGCCCACCTACTGCTGTCACCATTTGAGAACTGAGGGAAACCAATCTACTGAATACTCAAAAGGACTTAGAGGTCTAATGAGATTAGTGCTCATTATTTTCAATGAAAAAAAAAATCATCTTTTAGTTTTGTTATCTTGTGGAAAATCGTTAAAAAGATATATATAAAAAGTTGAAAAAAAAAACAGGGTCAGACACAGAAGTTTTTTTAACAATCTATTGATGTAATAGCAATATGACTTCAATCAGCAAAATTTGGAATAGGGTTACTTTTTCATACCATGAAGCACGCACCATTTAACTTTGAACTGAGGATACTCAAAATATGTGCAATGTGGATTTACTTCCTTCCGTTAAATGTCGTATATTTGATATACACGCTCCTGCTGCAAGAAAATGTAATAAATATCTTGTATAATTAATTAATCAAGTACTCAAACTTTAAATGTTTAATTGAGATTAATAAATATGCCATAAAAATCTACAACCATACTATGCTATCTTGAATATATTACAGATTTATCTAAACAATATCAATTACATACTATAATTTTATATTATTTTTAATAATCCTTGTCGTTGTAGGTTCTGGAGCGAGAGGTAGTGGAGCAAGCAGGAGTGATACCAGTGAAGACTGGGTCGACATTGAGCTGGACAGTGCCGAAGAGATGAAGCAGCATATATTCCTGTACGTATACATGTCAAATTATTGTTAAAACAATGGATTTAAAGTATTTTATATGTATACTTTGTCATTCAACACCATTTTGTTTTCCTTAAAGACTTCTCAAATCAAATTTAAAGAAATTGAATAATTCATGGTCCATTTAGAGTAGAAATGAACTTTAACGAAATTTTAAAATAAAGGTAATAATCCGCAGTACAGGATCCTATTTATCAAATTATTAATATTCTTAATACTACTAGAACCTAGTAAACTGCTTAATTTGATGGAAGCCTATGACTTTTTTCTTACTCTTAATCAATCCTCGGCTACTAATTAGCAGTGTAAGGCTTTCGCTTATAGGTTGTTTCAACTTATTGATGTTTGACTTAGACACAATAATTTCTAGTCATTTAGCGGTTCATTGTTGCGTATTTATGAAAGACAGACATATTTAAGAAGCTGTCATTTTGTGAGCATCCACCGGTAGCAGGTGTTTCTGTACAAGTTGCTTTATCTCCTTCGACCTTCGTTACATCCTTCTATAGCACAATATCTATATATAATTATTTATACTACAAGTTCCCGTTCGCTGCCCTCTCAATAAATGCATTAGCCTATTACTTAGTAGGCTACATGTCACTTCACCAAAAGAATGAGATTTATCGTTTTAATAATTTGGAATAGTTAATTACTTAATAAAAATGAATTATAAGAATATTTCATTCTTTTCAAGTAAATAAACGGATAACTCGAATCTAAGAATGCATTTTCTATATATGCCTAACTTCTTCTTAAAAGTATGTGGTCAACTATATTAAGTTAATAAATAATAAGTGACGTGCAAGTTTCCGTTCACACATTGTTTTAGAGACGTCTTTTCACCGAAATCTTTTCTTGTGATCACATTATGTTTTTTTATCTCGATTCTGTAAACCAAATTAGGCCCAACGTTGTATAAAAATTTTTATATATATATTTTAAAACAATTCTTTCTAAAATTTTTATAATAGTGGTATAATGGTTGACTGTAGTGAATAATTAAAGAGAAATTAATTGGGGTGTCCAATAAAAAATAAATAAATGAAATTTATTTTTATATTTGCCTACGTTTCAGTCTAATGTTAAAGTTTTCATCAGAGCTAAGAAAAGATCAAATAACAATATAAGAAACTACCAACTTATGAAAAAAAAAATTATATTAATAAGAAAAATGTCAGAAACATATGAAAAAAAAAAATTAATAATAGTAAAATTAGGTTCCTTAAATTATTAATATTTTTTTTCAAAAGTTAATAGTTTCTCATATTGTTATCTGGTCTTTTCTTAGCCCTGATGAAGGCCTGAACTATGGGCCGAAACGTGGGCAAATATAAAAATAAATGTCATTTATTTATTTTATACTGAACACCCCAACCAATTTCTCTTCAACAAACATTTTTATATATTGCTATATACCGAGGATGCTGATGTGTGAATAAAACTATATTTCTTGAATTAAAAATTAATATAGTTAGTCCAGTGCAGAAAAAGTTTAATGATTGCCAATATAAAATATGATAGGTAAACCGCGGATAGAGTCTTGGTACCTGCTATTTGCATGTTCTCGCAGATCAGATATAATTTTTGGGGAACAATCCACTTCGGAGGTAATGCAGATACAATTTTTCCGATTTGAAATATCACAAGAGAAGTCATTTCATATTTCTACAGTCTATAGTTGGGGAAATTGGGTGTAGCCCCTCCCTGTAACAAATATTCAACCAATAGAAAAGTCTGCAAAAGAACTGGGGAGGAAATTGGAATGAAAACATTTCCGGATGTCACCAGGACAGTAGATTGGGGAATTTGTTTGGATATAGTTGTCCAGTGGCGACGGCAGGTTGAGGTGCTGGGAAAAAATGCGTAACAAAGAAGGAAGAACTGGCTGCTAGGAAGACGGATGCAAGACAGACGGAACCAGTCTGGGAGAGAACCTGGGAAAAACAGTATGTTAGAGGAGAGCTTCAGAGAAGAGTTCTAGAGGAGAAGTCCGCAGGAGGTACTCTTTATAAAATCTGGAAGCAGTGCTTAGCTTGAAAGAAAGAAGGGCATCGTTGGGAACACAGGAGAGAGTCGAGATGACATCAGCGGCACAGTGGACACGAAGAGGGCAGTAGCTGAAGACAACCATTTCCCAACGATATATCCAGCTAAGTGGTAATGTCCATCCAAAACTTAACTTTATAAAGCTATGTTGGCAATCTATAAAATAGCTATTAGTCCTATCCACATTAGCGTCCTCAATGCAATATTTATATTTTTTATATATTTATAATTTTTATAACAATATATATTTATAATTTTTCAACTACTAACAGATTTTTATTTATTTTGAACTTGATTTGTAGCGGGTTTTTTTCCTGCATGTCACCAATTAAATATATAGATGTAGATAATAAATTGGAAACACGATACCCTTGGAAAGAATGTCTGATGTGAACTATAAATCAATCTAGATCACAACAGGGGAATCTATCATATCTGGCCTTTTCTTTTTCATATTGAATCTATAATTAGTATATTTTTAAATAGGTACGTTTCACTTCTTGAACCGATCAAAATATATATATATATATATATATTAAATACTCATAATGATTTTTCTGGAATTCCCTAACTACCATAGAAAAGTCGATTGCCAGAAACGTAGCGATACTTACATATGTGGATTTGAAAAAAAAAATTAATTAAAAATACAATAATATGAATAATCATAGGACCGGGACGACTCTCGTTGGTCCTCTATAGGGCTCGGATTGGTGGGTAACCAATAAATAGCAAATAAATCTATATAATCCAACGGGCATTCGTAGTTTTACATCCTTAATGAGCTTAAACAAACTAGTTGTTAAGTGACGATTTATCTAAGTTTTCAATGTTGACATTTGGAAAAACACCTATGGATGTTTAGTGTTTTTCTAAAAGAAAAAATGATGAGCAGAGATAAAATAATTTTATATTTAGCTTTCAGGGCATCAGGAAAACACTGAAAATCTCTTCGATAAATCCAAATCTAAGTGAAATTATTAAAAATATCATCATTTTTGAAAATAAAAATTTAATGTAATTTTTATTTCATTAAATACTACAGCACAGCTTTTGACCTAAAATGCTTTGTAAACATAGGCCTTATAATTAACAAACAAGATCCTAATTAACCAGTTCATTTTCAGTACATAATTATCACAAATACGTAAATTAAAATAAGTTAAATTTAGCTACAGTACATTTAATTTTTTCCATCAAAATTAATAACCTTTTCACTAAACAAGTATCAGCAAATTTATACCATGTTTCTAAAAGAAATGTACCAGTATCAAACTTTAAATTCAATTTTATCAGAACTGTCACATGGTAATTATTAATATTATCCATTCGAACATTCAATCAATTTACAAAAAATTTACATCTTTTTTTGGAAGAATCTATTTCAGAATCACTGGATAGTTTCATCTTCCTCAATTATGTTAGCAGAAAAATCTGAGACTAATTGCTTTTATTTGCTGAATTATCTAAAAATGGCAATTATTTGTCTTTACTTTAGAACTCTTTCTGTAAACCGTTCGCCCTTGAGTTTGTTTCTCCGTTTCAGCCGCAATGACTCAACCTTGTACCTTTCTAATACACCTCTGATACGTAAAACGAGCCAATTGTTGAGAATTGAGTCCATTTGTACATTATTTTATATATAAACGTCGAAAATTATAGAATAATTCTTTCCTCTCAACACAGGCGGATCTACTGGGGAGGCTTTCGAACTGAAGCCTTCTCCCAAATGGTAAAATATAACCAACTCCTGAACCAACTGAAAAAATATTTTAAAATTATCTCTTGAAGTATCATTGTTCGTGTAATTACATATAATAGGACTTCAAGAGTCATTTAAGCACCATGTCATACAGGTAGTTACTATCTTTCTTTTTTTTCCAAAGTAATTATCGGTTTATATATATATATATATATATATATATATATATATATACACATATATATTTAAAAAAAGCTTGCGGGCTAAAGCCCCCTCCCCATCCAAAAATTGAATCCTGGTACCGCTAGTGCTTCTCAATTATGTGTACTAAAATGAAAACTTTTTCCTATATATTTTTTCTAGAATTGTTTGAAATCAGACCTAACGAATGACCTGTCTATGAATATTCATCAATCCAAAATAATAATTGACTCAACTCATATTTCAATATATAAATTTAGTTGTCCGGACTTGCACAATCCGTATCTAGCCCTACCAACCCATATAATCCTCCTCGAAAGTTGAAGCGGTCCCAGAAACCTGTTGTATATATCGGAGTTCTGCCAATGGCCAAATTCTCCACCCAAGCCATATATGTGTGGTTATAGCTCCTCTCCTAGGCCTCCAGTGGTCCTTAATAGCAGTAATGCGGCTGAGTGAGAGGCGCTGGGATCTCCTAGAGTCCTGCCTTTCCTTCCATGAGTTGTGGAGAATGGCTTGGCTCGAAGTTCTTGAGTTAATGAATTTTAGTAAATATTTTATAAAAGTATGTGTGTATTTAAGTAGTTATTTGGTTAGGTTAGTTTGCTCAGCAACATGATATATGATACATTTGATATAAAATAGTCAAAGAGTTCGCGTCCCGGTGCCGGAATTCTTTTAAATCTCCGCCTACACCCGCTGCCCTGGGAAAACCCCGTGTGGCCTTAGAGGCGAAGGAGGGGAGGACCGAAAAAAAAATTAGTTTAGTTTCTTTTTGTTTAGTTTTGTAACGTTTCTTTGAACGTCCACTTAATGATAAAATTATAATTAAGAAGGGCTTGCCCAGTGGAAGGTGGTGAGTTCTTGCTTACTGACTATTTCTTCTTTGCAGGTGATATTAAATAAGTTATAACATCTCCATAATTAGCCAATTTATTTAGAATATGAATAACTTAAACCAAAAATAATTAACAAAATTTCTCACAATATAATCAAAACAACGTTTTCAGTCTATATCACACCCTCGAACTCTATAAACTTCCTTAAAAAAAAATCTAGTCACATCACCTGTTTTTTTTCAAATTCCATCATTTAATCATTTTGTCAACTGTGGCAGTTTATATACATTAATCTTTAATATTATTATTTTGCTGTTCATTTATTCTACATAATTTGAATGAGCTACTATTGTATCACTATTGCTATAGTCCTTACATGTGATACATTTTAATATATCTCAATAAAGATTTTTAAAAAATTTAAAAAAACTGTCCAAAAAACGTATGTTTACTGTTTGAAAATAAAGTATTTTTGTCGTGTAAAATAAATAAATATTAAAAATTCTCGTATAAATGGATTTTCTTTTTTCGATGTTATTTCCCTGTTGCTATTGCGCAGAAGATCCATTTAGGGGAACCAGGATCCAAGTTCCCCCACGCCTCGGTGTTGCCTTAACATTAGGTCGTTGTCCTCTACTTTGTGATTTCATTTGGGTTTTTTTCGGTGTATAAAATTTAATTTATATTATAAATTTATTAATTTATATTTATTTAATATTCCAAATATTTATTTTGAATATCCATATTATTTTTTTTTCTTTAACTTATACGATTCTTGGCGAAACATTATTAATTAATACATTTTTTTTCCTTCATATTTCTCTCAAATTCCACTTTCTAAAGTTTTTTGTTATATATATATTATTTTTTTAACAGAACCATTGAGAGTAAAATTGTTGATGCTGGCATAAATAAAAGCTAATCAAATTTACTTCAAATTTATTCTACACAACTATTCAATGTCTATATTGAAATAAATATATATATTAAGGAACGAGATGGTCCGAGGTGGCAAGTTTATACATTTTTTTGTTCTTAATATTTTAATGTACTTACATTTTTTAATTTTAATAAGTTTATTCATATTGTTTATAATTTTATATCTAAATATGATGTAACTTCCAAAATTCTCTATATCTTTTTGTATCTTGTCCGTTCCAGGCCCGAAGAAGACCTGCAAAGTCTATTTATGACCGCCACCCCGAACCATCTCCTTCCTTAATAATACAACGGTTAACTATTAAGTACTCAATAATTATCTATATCTTAGAATGTTATGGTTATTAGCTTTCTAGAGTTCATACAACAGCTCTTTAATTTAACAATAAAGTGTAAAGACTGATCTGGATAACAAATTAGTGAAATTGGCTTGATTGTAATTGAAAATAATACTAATTTAAATATATATTACGTCTGCAATGTCTTCAAGATTAAATCAGTTTACAATTAAGAATATTTAAAAGTTTAAAAACAAACCTTTCTTTCAGAGGTTTAGTTTTGCAGTTATTTTGTTACAACTTAAAAAAGTGCGTACGTTTTGTTGTTTTTGACTATAATACTATTCGCACGGGTCTTTCGAAGATGTAAATTTTTTTTTTGGTCTTCAAAACATATTTAAAAAAAATAGAAATACGTGACCTTTTACACCCAGGTAACCATTTTAATGTATATTTGAGAAGACTACAAAGATGCAAGAAAGATGTAGATACAAATAGGTAAGAAATACAAAAGTATGGATACAATCTACAACCGCATGACACAGCATTTAGGATTTGCAGGCGATGTTCTCATAACAGCACGGACTGTCCCATCAATGAATGAATGAGTAAACTGGCTGCTAAATTCTATATTAGTCATTATTAAGATCGTATTTTCAAGTATAATTAAACTTTATTAGTTGTATATTAATCATCTATTTGTATTCATATCTTTCTTGTACCTCTGACGTTATTTTCATTCTTGAACAAGTTGAAAAATGGCCAAAAAAATAAATAAATACTGAGACCTCATTAATTCCTTACTTTACTAATTAAATACTTACAATACCTAATTGTATCATGATTGATCGGCTACCAGAAATAATCCTTTGAATCTCATTTACAGTATCCAAGCGGGTCAGAAGAGGAGCTGTGGCAGTTGGTCCCAGAAGGTACGAAGACAGTGGTCAACGAGGAAGTGCCACGTCGGCCCACACCATGGTATTTAGCAATTATTATATTTTTATCAATATTTATTTTAATTTCTTCTTATTTCAATTTCCTTGAAAAGATTCACTTTTCAAAATGACAATTTTGCAATTATGAACTTTTTTTATTAATTTTCATTATAACGCTTTTATGGTCTCGTATTGGAAAGTAATTTCCATGAAATCATAAATTTTATTGCGTGATCATAATATATTTCACCTCTATGTTTATGGTTCCTGTTGCCATACATTACAAATTATTCTTTAGAATTTTTTTTAAAATTTTCATTGTCATAATTCGAAGAAATCAACCACTTGTCGATAGCTTGGATTAGAAGTTTCAAACAAAGTTACAACGAATAGTTTTTTAGACCACTGTCTTGATCGTTTTATATTATTTTTTATTTCTTCTTCACATCCTTGCTGATAGATGAAATTAATATATATATATATATATATATATATATATATTTATATATATATATATATATATATATATATATATATATATTTGTAATGTATATCTTTTTTTTTTCTATTAATACTTTTCGGTGACGCATTCTCCCTGTCTACAATTAATACGCCCCAATTTGGCGAGTCTAAGAATAAGTTTATTCAATGGTTTATTTATTATAAGTCATTGACCAAACTTATTCTTAATTAGACTACAATGGGACATATTAAATGGAGAAGAGAAAAAATGCATACAAATAAATAAATTGTTTATTTTTTTTTCAGAAGTAGTTAGTCCGGGTAGCGGTCAAAAAATACCATACTATAATATTACATTATCCAACGATTCGACCTACGTTGTAGGTCTTCTTCAGGGCATTCCGGCTGGCACTGCTAAAGGCACTAGCGGATCCAGGGTTTAATTTTGGAGGGGGCTTCAGCCCGAAAGATTTTTTTTTTCATATATATATATGTATAACGCTAATAAATTTGAAAAAAAAAAGAAAGAAATTAACTACTTATATGAAATGGTGTTTAAATGGTTCTTGAAGTCCTATTAAATATAATTACATGAACAAGAATACTTTAAGAGATAGTTTTTAATATTTTTTCTGTAAAACATGGTTATATTTTACCATTTTGGGGGGAGGGAGGGGTGCTTCAGCCCGAAAGCCCCCTCCCGTAGATCCGCCTGTGGCTGAAGGTAGTATGGCGACTTAGTAACAGTTTAGTATTTTTTTACCGCACCATCGACTAACTTCTTCTGAAATTAGAATCCATCGTCAATCATCTACATACCATTGTTTTTTTTGTTTTTTTATTTCAACTATAGGCAAAGTTGTGGAGAACAAATTTCATGAACCAATTTATGTATTTTTTTTATCCTGTACAATAAAAACACATATGATTACATTGATACATTATTATACATACAATAAAAGTTCTGATGATGGGAACAATATTTCTCGGAACTTCAATATGAAATTGTTACAATCGAAGAAATTAAAAGGAACTTTACCAGTAATGCGGCTGAGAGAGAGGCGCTGGGATCTCCTTGATTCCTGCCACTCCTTTCAAGTGGGAAGAAAAGCTTGGCTTTCTTGAGTAAACGAATTTTGTAAATATTGTATAAAAGCATGTGTGTATTAAAGTAGATCTTTAAATTAGTTTAATTTGTTTTTGTTTAGTTTAGTTTCTTTTATTTTATACACATTTACTTTTAGTATTATTATTCATTGTGTTTATTTATTGTACATAGTGTGAATGAGCTACTATCACTATTACTATTGTCCCTATTTATGATTGTAATATTTCTTAATAAAGAATATATGGATTGATTAGTATGCTGCGTATAAAGCAACCCTATGTAGTAGAGCACCATTACTTTCAACAATAAAGTCTCTCTCTCTCTCTCTCTCTCTCTATATATATATATATATATATATATATATATATATATAATGATTGTTTTTGCTTATATAAATATAATTATGTAATTCAATGTAGGAAATTTAAATAATAAATATACTCTTGCGTGTAGATTTATTTAAATATCGTTGTATAAATACTTAAATGGTTAAAGGAACTAGTTACGAATATCTTTTATTCGGCATTTTGTTAATTTATTTTTTTAACATCGTTTCTGTAAGGAGGTGGAGGAAGGTAGAGGATTCGAATTTGTCTATGTCTGTTTCAGTGGATAACTATTTTTTTTTTTATTTGATCTTCTGTTCGCCTAAATACAGTCTCAATTTGAAGTATCGAAAATCAGATAAATATATAAAGTTAATTATATTGTTTCTCATCAATTCGTTATTAGATTTAATGAACATAATTAAGTGATAAAATCTATTACCTCTCGGCTATCTGGTTGCCGGATCTGTTAGAGGGCCTCAGCTGACTTCCTACATCCGCTGTTCCTCAGCCAACCTTTCACTTAGAGTTCGCCGTCGATGCAGAACACGTGCGATACAGTTCCACCTCCTTCGTTCCTTGCCTTCCCTAACAAAAGCAAAATGGTTTTCCCTCAAAGGCGACAGCTTTCTAAGACTTTTTGTTCAATCAAGATTCGTCGCTTGTTTACGGTACAATGAAGTGTCAGTTGATTCTGGAGATTGAATTGGATTCTTATGAGAGCAATTCTGCCCAGAATCTGATAAGAGATAAACCTATTTCGATTTTGTTGGTTCACTCAAATTTCCCGTCCCTTTTTGTTACAAGAGATTCGGTTACAATAGGCCTATAGTTTAAAAAAGGATTTATACAAAAAATCAGACGTTAAGTTATTTTAAAATTAGCTTATAGCCTAATAAACAACATATTATACTGTAAACGAATAATTAAAAGTAACGGGTTATATTGTTACTAGTGTTGCCCAAAATCGGTCTTGGTCTTGCAAAGTGCTAAGACTAAGGCCGCTTAAGACCAAGATTGATAAAAAAATCGATTTGTTGAATAAAATTAAGGCAAAATAGTTCCTAATACTTGACAATTTTAGTTGCCAGATGTAAAGAATCGGTATAAGCAATTTGCATTTAATTCTTCTAAACTTTCATTTGGGACTAAAAAAATACTTGTTTAGGGCAATCAAAAATCATGTTTTTAGTAAACAAGCCAAAATTTGCTTAAAATACAAATAGAGTTTGTCTTTGTTAAATTCATTTAATTGGGGTTTTTATGGGGTTGAACAACACTAAATTCTTTTTTGCATAAAACCATTGATTACTTACTGTTTTTTTTTATATGTTTTTTTTAATCACTTTCCAATTACGGTATAGTTTCCTCAAATTTAGAAATACTTCCGTGTTTAATGATCTTTAAGTTCTTATTATTTAATTTAAGGTTTGTTATCTATTAAGTTGAGATACACCTCTCATTATGTAAAAAATAAAAGTGAATTATATTCTGTCACGTCAAATGAAAGTTCCCAAATTCTTCTAAACTTTCAATTCAAATGAAAGTAAATTCGGGCTTAGTTAAGTTTCTCATTTCTAAAAAAAATCAGTAATATCTCTACAATAATAAGCTAATCGATAACTGCAAGACTCTAGCGCAAGACCAAGACTGAATGCTAACTAATTGTTATATCATTGCAACTAATATATATCGCAATTCTTCAAGTAAGAAATAATGTTGAATAAAAAAAAAATAACAACCAAGGTCTGCGGCGGTGTGTATCATATGTAGCACAGAAAAATGGATACCACAGCGGTTGGAGATCACGTGGGATGCCTGAAACCGAATAGGCAGGAAAAAAAAATAAACAAATTTACCGCAAAACAATATGTAAGAAACTGAAATGCGATGGCTTAAGATAAAAGTGGAGCAGCCTGGTTAAAGTTACCTAAGGTTTGAAGAACAATATTTTCCAGGAGAAGCAAGCTTGATTTTTTCTCCTCTTCTCTTTGCCTGTCAAAAAAAAATAAATAAAAAATAACAATTTATATTGAGTATTTTAGGTAATGTATTCCATAATTAATATCATCATTAGAGAATATTGACTCATGGGATTGACTGAATTAATCAGAAAACTTCCAAAAATACTAAGAAATATTTTTTACCCTCTCCTTACTTCTTGCTTATAGGTGCAGTTTAATAAATATTCACTCTAAATTTATATTATGTTTATATGTTTATTTCTTTATTATGTTTATTTGTACGTTTCAGGGATACTTTGTCTCTCCCTCCTCCCCTCTTCTTCAGCATGTAATTTTCCCCAGTGTCTTAGCTAGTAATTACTAATCTTTATAGTAGCAATTGTATCTCTGAAACGTACGAAATTTGCTACCACCTAAATTTTGATGCTCGAGGCGATTGCAACCTTTATTTCTCTCTTATTCTGCACATGGTTTATGAGTTCTTGATGCAGTAAGGAAAAATGAACTATTAAGTTAAATGGTATTTCGATAACATGAATCATCTTGATTTTTATTCGAAATTATTTAGTCTGTTTTATTTTTAACCTTATCTTTATATTTTATAGTATTTTTAGTAGAGCTACGTTTCGTCCTTCACATTATTCTCAGTTATGTTTGTTATTGTTTATGTTGGACTACAATTTATATATAGTTCGTAATACAATTCTTAAACATAAAAAAAAAACTTGATTTTAATAATATTGCAATAACATATTAAAAGGAAGTAAGTAAAGGGAAACATTTAAAGGATCGATAATAAACCTCAAGAGCTATAAAAAAACATTAAAATAATGATCTGATATTCCGTAGTAAAGGGAGAAATTTAAGGTTTGTGTTTTTCAAGAAAGGCGTGTTGTTTGTTAAATAGAAAGCGATTACTAAAAAAATACCTGGTTGGAGCAATTAAATAAACAAGCCAAAATTTGCTTAAAATACAAGTAGAGTTTGTCTTTGTTAAATTCATTTCAATGGGACTTTTATGGGGTTGAACTACTCTAAATTCTGTTTTGGATAAAATCATTGATTATTCACTGGTTTTTTTTTTTTTTTTTTTTTTTTTTTTCACTTTCCAACTAGACTACAGTTACCTCAAATTTAGAAATACTTCCGTGTTTAATGATCTTTAAGTTCATATTAGTTAATT